TAATTTAGGGCAATTATGAGGGTTAGAAAGCAAAGCTGAAGCGAATTGACAAATTTGGTTAAAGATAGCTCAATGGTGATGCAGTGACAGATATTTAAGTGGATATTTCAGAATGCACAGAATAGGTACGTTCCAAAAGATTTCCAAAACACAAATCAACCATCTGTGCTTAACTGGAAGCATTAAAGAGAGTATCAAACTTAAAGATAATGTATGTAACTTTGCAGAAACAGATGGCAGGTCAGACGATTGGACAGAGAAAAAGCATTACCAAAAAATTAATAAGAGGGAAATAATTAGAGTGCTGAGAGAAAGCTAGTAATAAATATAAAAATAGATAGGAAGAGTTTCTAATTATTTATAGAAGAGTTAATAAAATGAGTGTGTTGCTAATAAAAATTGAGACTCAGTAGTTAATATTGGAAAATGGAGAAATGGCAGATGAATTGAACAGGTATTTTATATCAGTCTTCACAATGGAGGATATAAGCAATATCCCAGAAGTAGTGACAAATTTGGAAGTGGAGAGGGCAAGGAAAATCAAACTTACGAGTACTGAGTAAATTCTTGATACTGCATGCTGGCAAGTCCATGAGTCAGAAAGTCATACAGCACGGAAATAGACCCTGCACTAACCAGAGATCCCAATCTGACCCAGTCTCATTTGCCAGCATTTGGCCCGCACCCCCTAAACCTTTCCTATTTAGTTACCCATCCAGATGCCTTTTAAATGTTGTAATTGTGCCCGCCTCCACCACTTCTGGCAGTTCATTCCATACACAGCACCTTCTGCATGAAGAAGTTACCCTTGGGTCCTTTTTATATCTTTTCCCTCTCACCTTAGACCTATGCCTTCCAGTTTGGGACTCCTCTATCCTAGGAAAAAGACCTTGGCTATTCATCCTATCTACGCCCATCATGATTTTATAAATCTCTATAAGGCCACCCTTCAGCCTCTGACACTCTGGGGAGAAAAGACCCAGCCTGTTTAATCTTTCCCTATAATTCAAACTCTCTAGTCCTGGCAACATCCTTGTAAATCTTTTCTACATTCTGTCATCATCCTTCATATAGAAGGGTGACCAGAATTATGCGCAGTATTCTAGAAGTGGCCTCACCAGTGTCCTATACAGCCACAACATGACATCCCAACTCCTATACTCGATGTTCTGACCAGTCAAGGCAAGCACACCAAACGTCTTCTCCACCACCTTGTCTACCTGTGACTCCATTTTCAAGGAACTGTGCACCTGTGCCCCTAGGTCTCTTTGTTTGTCAACACTCCCCAGGGCCCCACCATTATTCGTATAAGTCCTGCCCTGGTTCAAAAATGCAACACCTCACATTTATCAAAATTAAACTTCATTTGCCAATTCTCAGCCCATTGGCCTATCTGATCAACGTCTCCTTGTACACTGAGATAACCTCCCTAACTGTCAACGATACCACCAATTTTGATGTCATATACAAACTTACTAACCATACCTCCTACATTCACATCCAAATCACTTATATACATGATGAAAAGCTGCAGATCCAGCACTAATCCTTGCAGCACACCATTGGTCACAGGCTTACAGTCTGAAAAGCAACCCTTTACCACCACCCTCTGCCTCCTGCCTTCAAGCAAATATGTATCCGATTGGCTATCTTCCCCTGGATCCCACATGATCTAATCTTATTAGCCATTCTACCATGTGGAACCTTGTCGAACGCTTTGCTGAAGTCCATATAGACAACGTCTACTGCTCTGCGTTCATCAGTCTTTCTTGTCAACTGTTCAATGACTCAGTCCAGTTGGTGAGACACTATTTCCCATGCACAAAGCTATGTTGACAATCCTTGATCAGTCCTTGCCTTTCCAAATGTATGTAAATCCTATACCTCAGAATTCCCTCCAACAACTTACTCACCACTGACGCAAGGCTCACCAGCCTATTAGTTCCTTGGCTTTTCCTTACAGTCTTTCTTAAGCAATGGCACCACATTGGCCAACCTGTCTTCTGACACTTCACCCATGGCTGTGATGATACAAATATCTCAGCAAGAGGTTCAACAATCCCTTCCCTAGTTTCCTACAGAGTTCTATGAAGTACCTGATCAGGTCCTGGAGATTTATCTACCTTTAAAGACCTCCAGCACCACCAACTGTCTAATAAGAACTCTTTTCAAAACATCACCACTTATTTCCACAAGTTCCGCAGCTTCCATGTCCTTCTCCACAGTAAATACTTGTTTAATATCTCACCCATCACCTGTTGTTCCACGCAAAGACAGCCATGATGATCCTTAACTGGCTCTATTCCCTCCTTCGTTATTCCTTTGTCCTTAACGTACTTAGAGTATCTCTTTGGCTTCTTCTTAATTCTATTTGCCAAAACTATCCAAAACTATCTCAGGTCCCCTTTTTGCCCTCCTGATTTCCCTCTTAACCTTTACTCCTACTGCCCTTAAACCCCTCTAGGGAGTCACTTGATCCCAGCTCTCTACACCTGATATATGCCTCCTTTTTCTTGACTAGGGCCTCAATTTCTAAGTCATCCAGCCGTCCCAACATCTACCAGCCTTGCTCTTCGCAGTAACAGGAACATACTGTCTCTGAACTCTTGTTATCTCATTTTTAAAGCCTCTCACTTCCCAACTATCCCTTCACCTGCAATTAACCTATCCCAATCAACTTTTGAAAGTTCCTAACACCATCAAAATTGGCATTACTCCAATTTAGAACATGAACTTTTTGATCAGTTCTGTTCTTTTCCATAACTATTTTCAAGCCAATAGAATTATGACCACTGGCCCCGAAGTGCTCCCCCACTGACACCTCAGTCACTGCCCTGCCTTATTTCCCAACAGAAGGTCAAGTATTGCTCCTTTTATAGTCGTACATTCACATATTGAATAAGATGTTCCTGTACACACTTAATAAATTCCTCCCTATCCAAGCCCTTAATACTGTGGCAATCCCAGGCTATATTTGGAAAACTAAAATTCTCTACCATTACAACCCTATTATTCTTAGAGATGTCTGAGATCTCCTTATACATTTGGTTCTCAATGGACTATTGCGGGCTCTGTAATACAATCCCAACAAGATAATCATCCCTTTCCTATTTCTCAGTTTGACCAAATAACTTCACTAGATGATCTCTCAGGAATATCCTCACTAAATACAGCCGCAATGTTACCCCAACCAAAAACGCCAACCCCTCCTCTCTTGCCTCCCTTTCTATCCTTCCTATAGCATCTTTACCCCAGAACATTAAGCTGCCAGTCCTGTCCATCCCTGAGTCACATTTCTGTAATAGCTATGATATCCCAGCCCCATGTTCTCAACGATGCCCCAAGTTCATCTGCCTTACCTGTTAGGCCTCTTGCATTGAAGTAAATACAGTTAAATATATCAGTCTTACCTTGTTCTCTGTAAAGCTGTTGTCTGCTTTGACTATTTGGCTTGCTCTGGTTATCTACTGTAGTAGCCTCAGCCTTTTCTCTTTTCTAACTACACATGCATGCATACACCTTACTGGTTTAAAGTCTCCTGAATAGCACTAGCAAATCTCCCTGGACGTATATTAGTCCCCTTCCAATTCAGGTGAAACCCATCCCAATGGTTCAGACATGTGAATCCTTGCCTCCTGCACCAGCCCCTGTGTCATGCATTCACCTGCTCTATCCTCCTATTTCTGCTCTCATTAACATGTGGCACTAGTAGTGTTCCAGAGTCCTGATGGACTTCATCCTAGAGTCGTAAAAGAAGTGGCAAGAGAGATAGTTAATGCATTGGTTTTCATTTCTCAAAACTCCTTAGATTTGGGGAAGATCCCATTGGATGGAAAGTAGAGAATGTGACTCCTTTAAACAGCATGGAGGCCAGTTAGCTTAACATCCGTCGTACGAATAACATTTGAAGCTCTTATGAAAGAAGTTATAGCAGGGTGCTGAGATCAGTTAAAGGTAAATGGGCAGAGTCAACATAGTTTTCTGAAAAGGAAATCATGCTTCTCTGATTTATTGGAGTTCATATGAGGACAATACATGTGCTGTGGATTAAGGGGAATGAGTGGACACACTGTACTTGGATTTCCAGAAGAAATTTGATAAAGTACCATGTCAAAGGTTATTGAAAATAAAGTTCATGGTACAATGGGTAGTGTATTGGTATGCATAGAAGATTGGCTGGCTCACAGGAAGCAGAGTAGGTATAAATGGGTCTTTTTCAGTTTGACAAGAAGTAATGAGTGGTGTGCTGTAGGAATTGGTGCTGGAACCTCAACTGTTTATAATTCAAATGAATGATTTGGATGAAAGGATGGAAAGCATGGTTGCCAAATTTGTTGATAACACAATGATAGGTTAGAAGTAAGTTATGAAGAGAACAGAGGAGACAACAAAAAGATACAGTTAAGTGAGTGGGTAAATATGTGGGAAAGTGTGAAATTGTCTATTATGGCAGGCAGAATGAAAAAGAAATGTATTATGTAAATGGTGAGAGATTGCAGAGCTGAGATGCAGAAGCATTTGGGTTTCCTCGTGTATGAATCACAAAAAGTTTGCATACAGATGCGAGAAGTCTTCAGGATAGCTAAGATGATGTTATGACTTAAAAGGAAAATTGGTTTCAGTAGTACAGAGGTTATGCTTCAGTTATACAGAGCATTAGTCAGAAAACATTGGGAGAACTTTGCTCACTATTGGTCACCTTATTTAAGGAAGGATGTAAGTACATTGGCATCAGTTCAGAGATTTACCAAAATAACACCTTGAATAGCTGGGATGCTCTATATCACAGGTTAGAATTGTTTCTAGTGGAGTTTACAAGAGTAAGATATGACTTGATTGCAACATTAGATGCTGAGGGGTCTTGACATGAAAGATGTAGAGAAGGGAGAATCAAGAATTAGGAGTCACTGTTTAAAAAATCAAGATCATCAATAATCGTAGATCTGATACAAATATTTTCTTGACGTTTCTAGGGTTAACCAATTCTCATTTTCACACAGGTGAGTGTTGACATATTGCAAGACCAGCAAATGGAGTCCTCAAAAGGACGAATGCTACGGCGCACCGTCAGTGTTCCATCTGAGGGACAGTTCCCAGACTATCAGCAGGATGGAAGCAGTAAACTGGGTGAGTTAATCTACATGGGAATGAAATAACTCCACAGAGGCCGGTATCCTGTCACCAAGTCTCCCTCTATTTACAATGGAAAGTTCTTGATACTGATCCAGCTTTCGCAGAGCCAGTTCTAAGTGAAAAGAACCATTGACACTCCTGTTTTTATCTGTCAGCCAGGTCTCCTTGATTGGACCACATTAACAGCCACAGTCAGGGAACTCATGTTCTATGAGGTCCAACTGGCCGTCATTACAATCATTACATCCCACCCGCAGTGAGTCCGAGGACATAGGCAGGTTCCTTTTTTTTGTGTCTCTTCCTGGGGTGTTTTACCACAGGGTCTGGTTCCCCTAACTCTGCCTCGGATATGGTTGGTGTGTGATACACAGTAGCTCGCGTCTCAGATGAAGTTCATTTTGAGATTGTAGATATGCTCGCCAAGCCAGTGGGTTTGGTTGCAAACGTTTCATTACCCTGCCAGGTAACATCGTCAGTGCGCCTCTGGTGAAGCATTGGTGTTCTGTCCCACTTGTTGTTTATATGCCTCCAGAACTACACAAAGCAGAACAGGAGCACCTGTATGGAGTCTTCAAAAGCACAATCTGCCGTTACCTCCGAGACAGACTGCAACAGGAAGACATAACACGACCAGACTCATTAATCACCCTACCATACATCAAGGACATATCAGAGATGACCACAAGACTACTCAGACTCCTATGTATTAGGATAGTCCACAAACCAACAACCACCCTACGACAACTACTGACGAACATAAAGGATCCCATAACCAAAACCAGCAAAACTGGTAATAATATACAAAATACCATGCAAGGACTGTGAGAAGCAGTACGTAGGCCAAACCGGAAGAAAACTGACAGTACAGATACGCAAACACAACTAGTCACCAAGAGACACGACCAATTCTTACTTGTCTCCCTACACATGGACAACGACGGACATGAATTCGGCTGGGACAGCACATCAATATTCGCGCAAGAGAGACGCAGCAGCAAATTCCTGGAGGCCTGGTACTCTAACCAGAACTCTATCAACAAACACATTGAATTAAACCCTGTGTACAAACCACTGTGAAACAGAACCGGAAGTGATGCCAAACACCCCAACAAACTAAGGCATATAAATAACAAGCAGGTCAGAACACCGATGCTTCAGCGGAGGCGCGCTGACGATGTTACCTAGTAGGGTGATGAAACATTTGCAACCAAACCCATTGGCTCGATTAGCATGCCTACAGCCTTATCAACAACCCGAGCCACAAATCTTCTCAAAAACTGTGGGACTGTCTGTCTTTCAGTACTGTCTTTTAGTTGGTGAAGTGAAATGTAGAGTGAGTTGTAACTCCACGAACTCTGTGATCTTGAGCCTCTTTGTCACAACCAAATTTCAGTTGGGTTATCTCAAAGCTGAATGATTTTATTTTCCATTTTCCTAATAACTATATGTTCAGTATGGCTGCAGTTGAAAGGACAGTTATCATGTCATTTCAGTTAAAAATCCAGCTAGGTGGCACATAACCTTCTTTACCTGTGCCATATAGAAAACTGCTTTATCCTACAGTGTAATGAAACTATACCTGCGGCTAGCTGTATAAGTATTACATTGCTTTGGTTTTATTTTGATGGAAATTTTCAAGTGTATTTCACATTGTACTGACAGTCATGCATTTCTTTCAGTTGTCCTTTTTTTGGGATGTTGGCCACATGGACACAAGATTACACTTTGTAAGGAAGAAGGTTTATTTTTGAGAAGTAAATTTAGCTAAGAACTGTTGCTATTTTTTAGACATGAGATCTATCAAATCAGGTGGTGTTTTGATACTAGAATGGATACATTTCGCTCCTACAAGTGACATTTAAGCGGTCTGAAAAATTCAAACAAAGACGTGCTTCTTTACCATGCATTCTGGCCAGAGTTTGGCAAGTAGCCTACACTCAAGACTGTAACAGTGCTAATCTGTAAAGTTACTGTTGACATTCCAGAATGTTGCGATCTTGCATCAGTTTCTGTTTACTGCAAGAAAATGCATTGCCTTTGCTTGCCACGTCCCTGGTTGCACAACGAAGATTGGGACCCCAATGCCTAAATTTTGTTGGGAACATTATTCAGATCACATATTGAAGACTATCAGTCCTACTCCAATCTTGGCACTGATTTGTTTAAATTGGAATTCGATCTTGTGTACATGACCCACAACATAAATTAACATGAACTATTTTGTGCCTCAAATTGACATGGGAAATACCTCATGATCACTTTTTGATAAGGAAGAAAAATTGATGAAAGCTGTCATTGGATGACTTCTTTTTGAAGATGTAAACTCCTCAGTTTGGAAATTGTTCAAGCGTACCCATATCCCCATTACCTCACTCCACCCCACTCATTATGTGGATTTTTTATTCCACAATGTACAGATTCAATTCATATCTGCAGTGTCATAGAAAAGTATTAATATTGGCTTCTGATAATGCTAAATTGTGTTGCTGGTCTTATCTACAATGATTAGATCATTTGATGTGAGCAACTTATGATGATCACAGTCAGGCTGTAGTTTCCCTTTTACCCTTCATGTAAAGACATTGCTGAACAACTAGAGACCATTAAGCCACAGTCCATGTCTGCAATCTAATTGAACATTCTAGTCAGCCTTGATGCCGTGCTCCACCCCTTTAGATATCTGAACAGATTGTTTAATAATATGTTATTACACACCACTGGAACAGCTGGGTCTCATCCCTGAGCCAGGAGGCCTAGGTATAGAGGTATTGCCACTTCACCTCAAGAACCCTTAGTCACCCCTGAAGCTCTGCAAGTATATTTCTCTCAGCTGCCTATTCTAAGTTCTCTTTGAAATCAATAATTGGCTCTACATCAGTGCGAATTTCCACTGTGAATACTTTGTTCTAAGTATTAGCGTTTTCCTCCAACGTATTGCAGCATTTCATAGTGGAAATGTTGTTTCGGTGAATTTTAATTCCTTATTTGAATACAGATCACAGGACTGTACTTAAATGAATAACTTCAAGTAGCTAGGCTGTACTTGTTTGTGAATTAACACTTGTGGCTCCCGGAAAATTTAATCAGTGAAAGTTATGCTATACAGTGATTAAAATCAATTAATTGCCGTTACTTAACTGGATCCCCATTGTCTTTGAGCCCTTTGGTGTCTTTGGTATCTCCTGTAGAAAACTCCCCAGATGACTCCGTGGAAAATGCATTGATTGGTACATTGCATTTGATAGTCTGCTCTGATTCAGTGCATCTATATCATTGGTATAGTGTACGAGTGAATCTGTGAAAGACTTTGCTCATTATTGGTAGGATTAACGGAAGATCCACATGCACAGAAGTCTAAACTGAAACAATCAGAATGATTATGAGAGTATGAAAATGGTTTAAAAGTCTTACTCAACTTATTTGGCTTTTTGGAGTTTGAGTTATACTTTGTGAAGCAATAAACCATCCCCTTGAGCCTTTGTTGTTTTTTACCATGATGTTCTTTGTTTATATGGTCATGTGGAAAACACTGCCTTCACTGGCAGGCATTTGAAATTCAAGTCACATTTGAGTCATGATAACTTTTGAAATTCCATGAATTATTTTGTTGGAAGAAAGTTTAGAATTTAATTTGTGCTGGAAAATTCATAATTCTTCCTTCTATAAGTGTTTCCAGCATATTGATTCTATTCTTTTGTTTTCGGGGTCAGTTAGCTCAGTTGGCTGGACAGCTGTTATGTGATGCAGAATGATGCCAGTCATATGGATTCAGTTCCTGCACTGGCCGAGGTTACCATGAAGGTCTTTCCTTTTAACTGTTCCTTTTGCTTGAGGCATGGTGATCTTCGGTTTAAAACACCACCGGTTGTTTCTGTCTAATGAGAGAGCAGCCCTATGGTTTAAGACAGCAGGCCAGGCAGCATCAGAGGAGCAGGAAAGTTGATGTTTTGGGTTGGGACATTTCTTCAGAAATTTGAAGAAATCCCTTCAGAAAAGGGTCCTGACCTGAAATGTCAACTTTCCTGCTCCTCTGATGCTGCCTGGCCTGCTCTGTTCCTCCAGTTCCACACGGCGTTATCTCTGACTCCAGCATCAGCAGTTCTTACTATCTCTGAGCCGTATGGTCTAGTAGGATTAGGGCGACTTTACTATTTATTATTATTATTAAGGTGATTTTATTATTTTGTTTTATCGTGTTGAAAGAGCACAAACTAAGTTCCTTTGCACTTGCCAACTAGTATATGCATTTGGGGTGCTTGCAGTTCTCCATTCAGATTGCAATATGATGGTTTAATATATCTCCGTCACCCACTTAAAATCTTGCCCAAGGAAGGCATGCTGCCATCCTCCTGTTAGGCACAAGTTTTAAGTAGGCTTTGTTTGCTGGCATTTTTTTGAAAAATGCAAAGCAGTGTCAACCCAATTCAAATGTCATAATGTGGTATAGAAAGTGAAGCTGGCATTGAATGTGATTCTGGTGAAACAGTCACTGTCGGTATTGTTTCTAAACAGTTCTTGTGATGGTGTTTGAATGGCTAAGATCATGTGGCTTTGCGTAGAGCAAGCCAGGCATATTCCGAGTATGATCTTTGGCCTTTGTAGCAAATATAACTTGAAAACAGTTGTTGAATCACTATCAGTGAAGGCTCAAGAGAGGGAGAGTGGGCAGAGAGGTGAGAGAATCAGCCAGTGGTTTCTCTGTTTGGAACTGCGTGCGTATTCATAGAAAAGGATGATCTGTGATGGTTCCTGTCATAATATGAGTATGACGGGAGTAACAATCTGTGTGAAGAATATCACAGCCACTAAAATAAACTTCTGGAAACTGCTGGAGTATACCAAATAATCAAAGCATTTTTTCAAGCATGGGCTTTGTTGCTACTGTACAGCTGTAATTAGGAAATGTGGGAACTAAATTATACACTGTGGGAGCCCACAAACAGCAACTGGATTGTTAATGATGTTATTATATTATAACTAAAACTGTAAAATTG